GTATAGTAGAACGTGTAATTTTAAGAAGTCACTATATCCCCCAGAATAAGGTATTTGCTGTATTTTCACACCTGATACGTTCTACTTCAGGCTGAATATCTCACACCCCTGGGTTCCATCTTCCAGGCCCAATCATTTCAGTGTCAGTTCCAACTCTTGTATTCCGTTCACTGCTCTGTTGTCAGATAGATAATTTAGGTTATTTCTGCAAAACAAAGACACCTGTTTGCCCCATATACTGTCATGAAGATCAAAGAGGTGTACGAAGCATATTGTATGGCATACATTTAAACATGGGTCCTATAGTCAAGTTGTTAAGGTCTGATTTCTGGCCCCATTATTTATATCTTTATATCCATAAGACAAATTATTTAATGCTCTAATCTTAACTTCCCATCCATAGAGATAATGTTAGTGTCACTATTATCAGATTCCTGTGAGACAATACATTAAGTTTAAGACAATGTCAATTACATGGAAAGAGGCTAATAAATATATATATATTTTTTTTTTTTTGGTTTTTCTCCAGTACCGGGAACCAAACTCACGACCTTGCGCTTGCCAGGCAGGCGCTTTTGCCGCTGAGCTAAATCCCCAGCCCCGAGGCTAATAAATATTATTGCTTAAAAATACAATGTGAAGATAGCACCTTAATATTTTTTCATCTTGACCACAATTTATATGGAAAAATAGATTTCTTAATTTACATAGGAATAAATATACCAAGATAGTAAGTGACATATATAGAGTTGTACTTAACCATAAAATTTGTTTTTTTAACTTCTTGAGATTTAGATATATTTATTTTAATAATATTTACAGATGCCATCTCTACCTAATATTTTAAACACTTAAAATTTGCCAGGTACTATGCTAAGTATTTTCTGCGTGTTATCTTGTTTGAGTCTCAGAGTAGCCCTGATGTTGCATGCACTATTTGCCGCCCCTCTTTACCTATGAGGAGACCAAGTTTCTGGAATGTTGTAAATCTACAGGCTATCTTACACAGGGACCAGTGTTCTTGATTGACCATGATGCTACCCTGCCTCTTACGGTGCAATTCTACCTGTATCATAGGTCTATCACTCAATTATTCTCTGCTTATTCTCACAAGCACTTAAGCACTGTTTAATATTTTGCTCAGTGCTATGCTCTCTGCTATGCAGTGGGGAAGGATTTCAAAGGGGATGAATATTAGAGTTTCTCCTATGTGGCAAGTTCTACACAAGATGCACATTCATCTCATCTTGTCCTCACAAGAGTACATGAGTTAGGTTTTAGTACCATTCTCACTTTACACACTAAAAATCTAAGTACCAGAAATAACTAAGATAGGCAAAGTCACATAGCAAATAACTATGTGGCTGCTGTAGTTGTCAAGAGCTCTTCTCTATGCTCTTAAGGTTGTGGTGTAGGTATGGATATTATCATATGCAGCTGAATGTTAATAGTATATTCTATAGACACAAAATGCCCTGTAAATAGTTAAGTAGAAGATGTTAAGCTTTAACACATGGGATAGTCATAGAAGGATGAAGGGTCAGAGAAGACATGCTGAAGGGAAAATTGTGAAGAAAGTTTTGGGATGTCTACAGACAGACAAGAGCAGTGAGTGTCAATAGAGAGTGCAAAGGCTGTCTGGTTTTAGATGAACTTGGGTGTGAGTCCAGCTTCTTGGTAGCAGTGGTTATATCTACCTTATGTCAAAATTGCATTCACCATTAACCAGGTACAGTCAGTGATCGAGAAATAATTAAGGATGTGATTGTCTTCTTTATTTTGAACCACCTGATCAAGTTCTATACAAAGTATAGTACTTTTATGACATGTAATTACATACTTTTGACTAAGACTCATTTGTCAAGAATTTCATTATATGCATGGAGTATAGGTGTAATCTTGTTAAATATACGGAATAAAGTTGTAATCTTATTAAATGAGATCTGAGCATTGGCCAGAGAAGGGTGGTTGGCTGGGTACCAATTATTCAGAGAGGTATCTCTGTGGTATCTATGGACTATCCACCCAGCACGTTTTGACATTCAATCTTACCATTACCCTAGAAAATTTAGTGTGAAAGATAGGAAAATAAATAAACCAGTAGAAGAAAATTATTTGAAAATCTATCACCTTCATGATCATCCAAGCTCAGTGAGCCTTTTTCTTAAGAAAATACAATCTAAGCACTTTACATAAACTATCTCATTTGATCTTCATGATAGCCTTATAAAATCATATTATTCTTATCTCTTCCATATAGACTAGGAAACTGAAGACATTTGGGGCAACTTTCTCTATAATATTGTTACTCTGACCTCTAGAATCTTTAGATGCTGAAGGTCTTAATCTTTATGCTATGATAAATTATCTGTTATGAACTAGCTAGGCATCCAGAACCAGCTAAGCAAGAGGAGCAAGGAAGACACTACTTCTGCCCATATGAAACATAAAGAGTAATGAAAAAAGCAGGTAAATACTCTACAGCTGCTCATACCATTGCATTTTTCATTGTACTTATGATGAACCCACCAGAAAGGTGCACCCTCATCGGTGTGGACAGGGATGTCTCTGAGGAAACGAAATTTTGATTGACAGTAGTAATGTCTGCCAGATACTACGTGCGAGGAACTAGCTCTTGTGGCAAGAAGCGAGGCTTCATAGAGAAAATTAAATGAGTACGTAAGCTAGAGAAAGTGAGAGCAGGCCAAGGTAAACTCAGAGATGGTGGAGCCTGACTTTTAGGTTTGCCTAGCCACTTACAGGGTTTGCATGCAAAGTTATTGAAGGACTTTAAAGTCCTTTGAGTGATTAAAACATGACAGTGTGTAATGTAAAATGACAATGACATAATAAGATCCTGTCTCAAAAAAAAAGAATAAAATGATGATGACAGCTGCAATATCAAGAATGAATTAGAACATTTAGAAGACCAAGGTTTTCTAGGTAAAAATGAAGGCAGATGAGGCTATTTTGAAGACACAACTCACTATACAAAGCTACAAATATTTCTGTACTATGTCAGGGACAAATCTTAGGAACAATCAGTGAAATCTGCACTGATATCTATGATCTCAAAGCAAACCTCTCAAGAAAGCTGCTATGTATATTTGTATATATGGCCATTGTTATGTACTCAATCAGTAGTCTCAGAAGAATTAGATCAGGAAACTATCAAATGTATAAATGATGGCATAGTCATTTAGTGACACTCCATGAGGAAATGTTGTCATTTTTAAAAAATGGTTAAATAGTAATATAGGACTTGGCTTTAAACAAAGACCATGCAATAGGTTATCTTTCTAGATGCACTGATCTCAATAAGGGTAGTGGGTATTGTGTTGCGGATAAAGGATTATAGTTCAGTATTGTACAAACAGGTTTTTTTTGATAAGACATAAATCTTAGCTGGGGAGCAGAAATCACGCACTTGAAAAAATATGTTTCATGAGTCACACTGTTGAAAGTTGATAAGCATACATTCAAATTATGTTAAATATATAATACAAAGTTATTTATTTGGGGTGAGTACTATATGAAAAATAAGAATCTGTTGAAGGAAAATTGAGAAGGGGGAGGAAACAAGCACAAGACTGTACAGAGCTGTATTACCTAATATACTCGGGAAGTCAGGTGTAGCTACCAAGCACTTAAAATGCAGCTAGTCCTCACTGAGATATGTGGAAAGTATAACATAGACACACACCAGATTTCAAAGCTTAAGAGTAAAGAAAAAATGGAAAGTGTCTGGTTAATGATGCTATTGTTTATACATTAAAATAATATTTTGATATATTGATTTAAAGAAAATATACTATTAAAATTTATTTCACTCATTTCTTTAGATTTGTTAAAAAAATATACATGTGTATTTCACATTCTATTCCTACTGGACAGTGCTGGTATACAGAAAAGACTAAGGCAATTCCTAAAATATTTGGTTGCTTGTTGAAAATCTTGTAAGGTTGAACTTATAAGATTTTCTTGCACTTACAAGATGTTCAAATGTATGGAGAACTGAGAGAATACAGGATACAGAGTACGTGAGAGCTGTCAGATTACACCATACCAGTCACCAGCTTTAAGAAAAATTTGGATGTTAAATGCAAGAAAAAAAATGCTATTAAGTTGCAAGTTTTCGCTGTATTAGTGTTCTGTGCAATCAATGAATAATAATGTACCTGTTTTAATTTAGTTCAAGCATAGAGCAAGATTGATCCTCTTCCTATAAGTTTCCTCTCTTCTGTAAGATTTACAAGATATTAACAAGAAATTTCTTTTGAAACACCTAAGAACATGGCAATCCAGGAGAATTTGCAGCCAACCTGGTAGCATATCAGAGTGAAACACTTAACTCAATAGGTAATGAGTAGGTATTCAGTAGGTAATCAATAGTCTTCCTTGGTTAACAATAGCATCATTACTATTCCCTGGTCACTGAGCTATATACTCTAGACTGCTAGATTCATTCATTCATTCATTCATTCATTCATTCACTCAGCCAAAAGTTTCGGTGGTGATGACGCCTAGAGGGCTCAAGTCAGGCTGCTCTAACACTAAAAACTACTTTTTAAGGACGCTGGCAAGATTTGAAGAATTAGCAGGAATTTCACAAAGTAGAAAATTCAGAAAAGACATGGGAGTATGTATCAAAATAGCCAATGGTACCTCTTTACACATTCCAGTCACAATTTTATTTACCCATAACATTTGGACCAGACTGTATCTAAAACTAGATCCAATTTGAATGCCTGGCCAAGTGCTTTGTGAATGTTTTTAAAAAAGAATCTGCATTTGAATATACCTCCTACAGGGATTCAAATACAGAATGAGCTGAAGAGAATATCATGCCTAAGTGGTGAACATTAAGCATGCAGCGAAGCAGGTAAACCTGCTTGGAGGAGTAGATGGTATAATTTTCCTCCGTTCAGTGGAATGGCCCTTCCCCTTTATTCTCACGAAGTTTTGACCTTTGCCATACACAGTCCTGTTCTTGCCACTCTTGGACATGGATGTCATCAGAGACAGCCCTCAGCACTTTTGATAATAACTTCTCTTCGAATGTAAGTGACTTTTGCCTTTGACTATTTTGGACTGGGATGGGTGTGTGTTCAACTAGCTCATTATGGCCTCTTCAAATATTTTTAATATTTTAGTTAATTATGATGTATTGAACCGTTTATCATTTCTTTCTTCTGACGCTTTAACAATGCTGTTTTTGAAGATGGTTGTATTTGGTGTTGAAATAAAGATTCATTATCACCAGTACTAAAAAAAATGTTCCACTCTAATAGGTAATCTCAAAAATAAAAGTATTTTTAATAGAAATCATAAACATTCCCAATTTTGCTTTACAGGTAAAGAAATAAAATTTAAAGTATTGTTCAACAAGCCAAAGAATGTTAATTAATCATTTTACAATATATCAGTACATACAAACTTATATACTTATGGTTCTATTGATCCCTTCTTGAATTTTAGGATGCAAAGTAGCTTAAATTATCTAAGGAGCAAGAAAAATATTCTGGGTTCCTGTTTATGAAAAATCTTACTCCAGGGCAGTGATTGTGAACCTTTTAGAGCTTTCAGTGGTAACAAACAGCCAACTGCGGCACATGTGCCCTTAGTTTCTATTTCATTGTTTATAAAGTAAGATTTTTAACTTGAATTGTATTCAAAAGAAAATTGTGCTTCTTTTGACACATAATCATGTGCTAAGAAAAAATACTCTTTGGGAAGAAAGAAGCAGTAGAACAAATAAAAAGATGAAACATTGTTATAGCAAATGTATTTTGAATTGGGACACTGGCAGGAAAATGATAATCATTCTCACAGTCAGGGATCAGTGTTAAACTGTACTGGCAGCCAGACTGATACTTGAGTGGGCAGTGGTTATTGCATATTTTGTTCAGGTTGCAATAAGATTCTCAGATCCAGATATAAAAAATACAATAGTTATTTCAAAATATTGCTCCTTAATACATATATTGTCCAAAAGTCCTTTCCAGCTCTATTTTTATCTAGTTTTATGAGGGGAAAAAATGAAATAATTGAGGTTGTAGACAGTCAAAGTTATCATAGGGTCAAAGTAGTAGTTTTAATTTATTTCATTTTAAGCAATGTGAATATTAAATAGTATAATAATTATATGTAATGTTATATAATAGTTATTACATTTAAGTTATATCTAATATATAAATGCTACTATGTATAATAATATGCAATGTTAGACAATATGTTGAATATTTATTAAAATAGGAAACTGATACAAATGGAGCGGTAAAACATGGTTATAAAGGTTAGATTCATTTACTTGGTATGGCTTCATTTCTGTACAAGCACAAAATTGCTCAGATTATTAAGATAACCCTCAAAGTTGAGGAGGAATGTGAAAAGTCAATGGTGTAGGAATTCTTGAAGTTTAAGCTAGTCTGCAGTCTATAAAGACCTGAGAAGAGAAGTTAGTTAGCTATATTTGTGCCATTTCAATATTAAGTCATGGCAACAAATCAACATTAAAAGAGGAATAATGACATTGTGCTTCACAGAATTCTGAAGAGTCCATTAACATTCGGTTTGAAAGGATTGTTTAAAACCAGGACTACCAGTGATTTCAAGTCTATCTACATCTCTGCCATCAGACTAACAGAGCGAAACATAGTTCTTGTCATGCTGAATGAAAATGGAGCTTTTCGTTCCATAACTTTTTCTTCTCCCAGCAAGAGGAGCATTTGCGTTTGCTCCACTTTCACTTAATTGGCATGGAATTTCCTACTCAACTGGAACAGATTTTAGAATTTGGACAAATATAGAGAGTACTTTTGTTTCTGAGTTTCTGAAAAGATTTGAGGCTGAGTCCAAATAAAAAGATCTAAAACTCCTAAATCATGTTGGAGAGCAACTTAATGTTCACTATATTCATGCTGAGAGAAGAAAGATCATGAGAAATTCTCAGGCTCTCCTGGCATACACAATGCAGTACAGAACAGGGGCACGTGTTCTATTCCATGATATTTTATGCAGCTCTTAGAGTTAAGTTGTCTTATATTTTTTGTCTTCCATTTCCACTTTGTTTAAAGCAGTGGTTCAGGGGTTTCTGGGTCAGCAACCACAGTAGTCACTGTCAAAATCGACAGTAGGCCAAATCCCTTTAATATAGGAGTCAGTTTCCACAGCCACACTCCTAATCCCAAACTGCATCTCGATCCAGGAGTTTGATAGCCCCCACTTCTCAATTGACTTAGCCATGTCCATCTCTGAACGTCAGATTGACACAAGCACTTTTGCATGTTTTGCTTCATTTAATCTTTATTGCTGTGGTCTGGAGTTGGGAAGGATGGTACTATTATCACTGATTTTGTCCATTATGATGCTGAGTACATTCTCTCCCCGCTTGACACACTGTTTTGGATATATTACTGAACCTCTCCCTCTCAGACTGACAAACACTCAGTGCGAGCATGGATGACTCAGCCAAACTGGTTACCTGGCACTTGGCACTGGTTACTTGTAGACCACTGTTTCCCAACCTTTAAGTGCATCACAGCATTTGGTGTGTCAGGGAGACGCCTTCCGTGTGTCATAGTCCAAGGTTTCCTGTTTTTATATAAGCTTCCTGTTTCTCATCTCTCCGGTTTCTAACTGTCATTGCAACCATATCTCACTCTGCAGCTTGATGTGAAAAGCAAAAATTCAGAAGTTCCTAATCAATCAGGAATCCTCAGGAGCAGGCGAAGCTCACCTAGAACTAGGTAAGATGGAGATTTACCACAACTGGGAGGCAAATGGGAGTATCCATCAGGTGCAAGGCTGTCTGCATACCCACCCTTGGCCTGCTATCTGTGGATTCGTTGACTTGGAGCAGGTTTTAGATCTCTCTAAGCCTTTGCCTTTTCTTGATAAAATGAGGGACATATCAGTGCCAACTTCATGGAACTTTTCTAGGTTTAAATAGTATATACGGAACCTAGAGGACTATGCCTAGCAGAAAAGAGCCACTTAGTAGATTATATTATTACTTTCAAAAACCTTAAATTATATAACATTTACAGACAGTAGATCAACTTTAATTAGATATCATGAAGGAGAAGTTACCTAGCTTCAAAAGTAAACTTTTTTTGGAAGTCAGACATAAGTAATTTTGTTACACTAAAGTCTTTCTGATATGAAACTCTTGCTCATCCTTAGGATAAGAAAAATAGTGAAAGTATTTGTTATTTAGAGATAAAACTACTAAAAAACCTTACCAGTCAGAAATCTTGTTTGTTGTGAGGCCCACTGACTGCAGTAACCCTCAGAAGACGAACACACTATGCTCATGCTAGTGGCCCGCCTTTAAAGAGACGAGCTCTTAAAACACGGCAAGGAAGTGACACTGAACATTGAAATGTGCAAGATTTGCCTCTGGGAGTTCACATGAGAAGCAGTCACATCACTAAAAGCGATTATAAGCTTGTTTACTTAGCTGAAGCTTTATCTGTTCATCGTTTTTGTTTGCTTTGTGAGACCCTGAGCTAGACGAACTTCCCTTTGCCATGGTGTGGACACTTGTGCTCTGAATCTTTAGATACTGAGATAACTCACCAATGAACAAAGACTTCAAATAAGTGAAAAACTTTCAGTGAAATAAAATTTTGCTAAACATTAAATTCATTCCATTAGAAAAACTGGGGTGTCAGGGCTGTTTCCTCATGTCAGAGCAGATGAGTACTCACGCGAGTTTATTGTATTCATTCTCTTCTATACGTTATCAGCTTTCTCAGAGCATCGTTCAAGTTTCCATAAGGACATTATTTTCATTTCACTGTTCAATACTGGTGTATGAAAATAATCTGTGACTATTAAATGTTTTTTGTCAGGTATACCTATGATGTGGCTGTTTTTAACAACATTTCATTTGATTTGTGGAACTTTAAGTGGTAGTGGATTCATGGATTTGGAAAATAAAATGAATCCTGAAGTGTGGATGAATGCCGTAAGTCAAGGAAAATCCCAGAGAAGACCAAATAAAGCAGGATAATGGGTGGTAGGATTATAAAAGATCTTGATATAACAGAAAATATGTGATATGACAGTTACTTTTCTAACATCTTTATAAGAATTAAGCTAAATAGACTTGCTCCTTTGTCTGAATAACTAATATATTCCAGTACTGAAAAGCAGAACTGTATTGTTTTTATATATGTCAATCCCTCTTTTAACTTGTACTTTAAGAATATTTATCTAACAGGGACCTCAAAAGACAAGTGATTTAAAAATATAGCTTTGTCAGAGGAGTAGGTCAAAGCTAAACATTTTCCCTCCCACCAAAAAAAAAAAAAAAAAAGGCAATAGTACACATTTTTAACATTCTATTATGTTAAGTCAAGACTTTATCTAGTAAAATAAGTTTATAGTCTAGCATTACAGAAGTCATATAATTCATCCTGGTAGGCTCACATCAGATGCTCGGTTCTGGTTCCATTTGCTCGCCTTCAGAGAGTTCCTTATGACGCTGTATTTTCCCGGTGTATTTTCTCATATAGAGTGAGATCATCATGTACAATGGCTATCCTAGTGAAGAGTATGAAGTCGTCACTGAAGATGGGTACATACTTACTGTCAACAGAATTCCCTATGGGAGAAGACATACTAGGTCCACAGGTACAGATCTATGTCTCCTGAGAAAGAGGACAGCACGTGACTGCAGTTTAACGCCAGCTGTTAGTGACTGCTTTGTCAAAATTGGCTGAGTTGCTGGAGTGCTCTTTAAATGGCTAACGAGGAAGCTGTTCTTTTCCCTCTAGCTCACTGATGACAGACAAGAAAGTAAAAATACAAAGAGCAAGCCTGATCTTGCTGAGCAGGTAGGCTTGTTTGTTAGGATGTAAGTGCTAAGGGAGAACCCTCGTCTTATTAGTTTGCTGATTTCTCATATGTTCCAGGAAGATGAATTTCCGCACTGTTTAGGAGGAGATTGAATGGGCTGAATGAAGTTAATTCTAGTGGGTACCCCAAAAGAGCCTCCTCTGTTCTTACTAAAATCAGTGGGCCTTCCTCTACAGAATAAAATATCAAGTTAAATGACAGTGACACTTCTAAAACCGCACAGTCTCTGAGGAGGCAAAGATAAGAGTAAGCAAAATTTCTTCAGAGGCTTGCAGAAAAATCATGTGCTGTCTTTTATCGTGTTGGTTCTGTGTCTTTTCCGCCACCATCTGCATTCAGTGGCAGTTAAAATTGTATTATTTAATGGTCTCTTCCTCTAAAGGATTTGTAATTCAAAAGTTTCAGAACAAAAAATGAGAGTGAGATGTGAATAGTTCTATAAGGTAAAATATGGGATACTTAGATTTGAAGGTCAAATAAGCTATAAAAATTTTAATAGATGTGCTATTTTAGGATATACTTACATAAAAATTATCCATTGTTATCTAAATTTCAAGTTTACAGAGCATCCTCAGTCTTTTTTCTTTTCTTGTATCTTTCCACCTTTGGCAAGACTTGGGGGAAAGGGAGTATGAAATATAAAGGGAGAACAGGGCTGGGGATTTAGCTCAGCGGCAAAGCACCTGCCTGGCAAGCGCAAGGTCATGAGTTCAGTTCCCGGTACTGGAGAAAAACCAAAACCAAAAAAAAGGGAGAACAGTGCATAGAGAAAGTGTTCCTTAAGAGCAGAGAATTTTGGAAAGCACTGAAATTAAAACTGTCTATTAGCTGTATTGTTCTAAATACTTTAAATCAGTTCAAGCTCCCAGCAACCCTAGTAGTCATCAATTTACATATGATAAAACTGAGGCACAGGGGACTGTGTAATTAATCCCACAGTCACACAAATAGCAAGTGACAGAACCAGAATTTTAATTCAGTCAGCCCAATTCTTACCCATTAAATTATGGTACCTTTTCTGAATCTTTAATTCTGATTCTTTTGATCTCACCAAATACTCTCTCCTTCATGAATGTGGGAGTTGGCAGAAGCACGTTGAGTTCATTCTACTATTGTCATTTTCCAATACTCTGCAGTGAACAGAGGCTGAGGATTTGGGTGTTCCCATCCCTTGGTGAGGAACTTATCAGTGCCCATTTCTATTCCCTTTTCCTGCTTGTGGAAGAGATACAGGCCTTCAGGAAGCATGATTAATTTTGCATCTTGTAGGTCACATGTGTATAGAGATGCTACTTGACTTGGGTAGGGGTTGTGACTTGAGAAACCCAACATAAATTGAAAATATTATAAGAAAAATCATTGAACACACCTAGTCTCCTGATCAACATAGTTTAACAATACAGTGTCCTCACGCTCACGATCAGCTGGCTGCCTGGGAGCTGAAGCTCACTACTGCTGCTGTTGAGCATTTCAAGATACTATTGTACAGCATGCCACTAACCTGGGAAAAGATAAGTTCTAAATTTGACATATGACCTATAGTGAATCTATACTTTGTACTATGGTATGGTTGAAAAATCTTAGATTGCTAGATCAGTGACCATCTGTCAATGAATGCATAGAGCAAAGCAGTTGCAAGCACATACTTTGACATGAGTCAGAACTGGGTTGGAGTCCCTGATCTGTACCTTGCTAGTTAGGTTGTACCTGGGGAAATTTATTTAACTTCCCTAAGGCTTGTTTCCACATCTATGAAATGATCCTGAAAATAGCAGCTACTTTTACATTTTTTATAAGAACACAATAATCCAATTGATAGAAATCAGGCAATGTATTCCTAGGTACAAAGTGTTTGGTCAAGATACTGAAGTTATGTGATTATAATGCTCTACACTAATGACAAGGGGAAAACTATCTTGTTGTTTACCACACACGTGTGTTACATGTTTATAATGTGTTTGACATACTCTAATTATAATGCATTTCTCTCGCTCTTCTCCCCACACTCCTCCCCAGGCCCCCGGCCAGTTGTGTACCTGCAGCATGCCCTGTTTGCAGACAATACGTACTGGCTTGAGAATTTTGCCAATGGAAGCCTTGGGTTCCTCCTAGCAGATGCAGGTTACGATGTATGGATGGGAAACAGTCGGGGAAACACTTGGTCAAGAAGACACAGGACACTGTCGGTGAATGAAGAGAAATTCTGGGCCTTTAGGTAAACTGTATCTAGGAAAAATCAAAAGAGGAGATAGTTTCTTTAAAATATAATAGAGTAGACAACATTAATTCAATATAGTCTACAATACATGGAGACATAAAGCTCCTTGGAGTTTCTACTAACTTCTCCAGGGAGAGAAACTGCAAGAAACTGATTTTCACTGATTCTCCCCCAGGCACATTGTTTCATTTTACAAAGATTATTTGAACATTTGACTCTTTCCAATTGTATATTATAAGTATATCCAAGGGACAGCTCAGGAAATTCCTATGACTCAGGCTCTCATTTGTTGAACCAATGTTTACACTGTCTGTGCCTTGCAGATTCAAATGGTGAGCACACAAAATCCTTGACCTCTTGGTTTCTGTTCATTCTAGTGGTACTTTTACAAGTGTTTTCTCCCGGAGAACTAATTAATTTTGAGGATATGATGTGCATCAGTGTTGTAACTTATTTAAAGAAATTGATGTTCAGATTTACAGCATATAATGGTCACGAAAACACCAATGTGAGATTTTTAAAACATTATTAATGGGCAAAGAATAATAATTTTTGATACATTGATGTGTCTCTTAAAGGAAGTGTTTTCTCCTGACACCAAAGGACAGGTCTTTGTTGGTTTTCAAGCCACTGATAGAATACAGTGGATATTTTTATCATATTCATGACATATGCAGCACACACTAACAGGTTGAGAGCAGCAAAGGGATAGAACAGATTGTTAGCATTAGAGCTTTGTGGTGGAGGCAAGTCAGGGAATATTTTGTGTCAGTGGCTGGGAGCTTGGAGCTTGCTTGCCTTAAGGCATCACAGTAATTCTCTTTTTCTGGGTAACATTAATTTAGAGAATTCCTCATGTATGTTTTCACTAAAATAGTGAACATGTATCTATATGGATAGAATCATTAATAGCAACGTCTGACTAGGTGTCTACTCCCAATGAAGTTATTTCATTCATACTGTGTCCAATCCCTATTACTTCCTATAAACCAGGCACCATCCTGTTCCTTTTTCAGATGAGGAAACTTAAGCTCAGTGCATTTAAGTAATTTATCAAGAGTTATTCAGCTAGTAAATGGTAGAGTCATAATTGAGAAGAGTCCTGTTTCCAAAGATGGTATAAAATAACCCTAAGAATTGTGAGTTGTGTGTGAGATTTAGAAACAGAAGCTTACAAATTAGATAGAGAAAGGGAAGGGAAAGAAAAGCAAGAGACAGAAATAAAAAGGAGAAAGAAGAAAACTGAACTTTGGGTAGCATGCACATTCCTTGATATACTTCCTGTTATTAGGACATAAACTGTGTAAATGCAAGCAGGAAAAAGCAGTGGTAATCTACATTTAATTGGGTAAACAATGAGATACACACAGAATAAATAAGCAGCACAGAATTCCGTGTGTAAAAAGAAGTGAGTGAGAGTATGTACCTAAACTTATAGTTGTATTTAGAAGTCCCTGTGTTATTTTTCAGTTTTGATGAAATGGCCAAATATGATCTCACAGGAATAATAGATTTCATTGTAAATAAAACCGGTCAGGAGAAGCTGTATTTCATTGGACATTCGCTTGGCACTACAATAGGTATGTTTACAAGTCAGTGTCATCAGAGTCTTACAAGGATTCATTTTGAAATTGGAATGGAGTAAGTGTTATGTATGGTGCTTTCTGTCCTGTTCTGGGAACAAACCTAGTTCTCTAAGGGCTGTGTACTTACGTTCAAGAGGCTGTATGTGGAGTGAACTCTTTCTCAGTTTCAGGTTTCAGCTGCATATTTGGAATGGTGATGTAATAGGAACAACCCAAATCCAATGAAATAATGTTAAAGAGGAAATTTCTTAATTCCCTGAATTGAAAAAGGAAATCTTAATGCCATAAAATATTCCTTCCAGAAAGCAAATATGCATCAATTGTACTTTCTTCCCAACCTTGAACCCAAATTGAATTTAATAAACAAGAGGGAGGGCCTTATACTTAATTCAAAAGAATAGGCATATTTGTTTATAGGCTAAAAGCAAAAACTATGACAAATCAACTGGATTTATCTATTTGCCATGTAATTTAATATTTGTGAGCTAGCAATTACACATAAGCATTTACATAGAAAGTTTAAAACTTTTAAATTGTCCATCAGTAAAATAAAAGAAAGTTGGGGACTTTAGAGTAAAAAGAACTGGAAGCAGATTATCTTTGCAGAATAACTCCCCCAAAAAGTTCCCAACATCCCCAAAATCATTGCAATAAAAGAACAAAAAATGACTAAGTTGACCCCCCCACATATTGGTAGAAATATTGCCCAAGAATTTCTAGTTTTTACAAGGCTGTCTTGTCTCCTATTCTTTCAGGGTTTGTAGCCTTTTCCACCATTCCCGAACTGGCACAAAGAATCAAAATGAATTTTGCCTTGGGCCCTGTGATTTCATTCAAATATCCCATGAGCATTTTTAGCAGTTTTTTTCTGCTTCCACAGTCCACAATCAAGGTAGGCTCCTCCTTTTGCCAATAAGTATTTCAGGGTCTCATTTTTTATCATAGATCCTTATTATTTTTAAATCTGTTATGAAGTAAAAGTAGTAAATTTAGATTAAACCTAGAGAAATCCAGACTCCATACGCATACACTTGCATGTATGTATTCCTGTGGGTGCCTGTCTATGCCATAGGACCTGCAGGTCTCATACAGAATTCCCTATATTCAGTCACTTACAGAGCGGAGCACATGTTAAAATTTCAAGGCTGAGCTGAGTGCTGTCCCAGTATAGGGTATCCTCATGAGTTACTGTTTCTATTTAATTGGGCAGGTCAATGAATTCACAAATGTCCAGTTGGAAGACACTCTTCAAGTATATGTTGCAGAGATGTCCCCGGTTTTAATGTTAAATAAGGCTGACTTAAAAAACTTTCCCATTTGGGAGCTTTCCCTAACTTATTAGAGGTATATTCCAAAACCTCAAATGTCTTACAGCCTGAGTAGTCATGAAAACATTTATTGGTGTTCCTCAGGGTAGCAAAAGTTAATTGACAATTATAAACTTGGAGTTTTATCCCCTAACAGATTTTTTTCTCCGTTTGTTTTTGTTTCTCAGTGCTTGTCATAGCCACAAAGAGCATGATATTTTACCAAGACTGTCATTTGAATTTGGGGCAATAGAAAAAATGGGTTTGGGTTAAAATGAAGTCAAGGCTACCAGCTAGAGTGTCATAGTAATTCATGTATAAGAAGACAAGGCCTTGGTTTGGGGTGGAGTAGTAGGAATAGAAAAAAATATTAAGGAGCTAATGCAAGAAAGGATTTCTATAAGGCCTAATGATTGGTTTGATGATGATTTTATTGCATTGTTAGCTGTCAACAAAAGTGATGTAACTTCCCTTTTGTGTGGTTGACAGTTCTATTACAAAATGTGTTGACATTAGTTAATTTTGAATGTTATCTACATCTGAGCAGGGCTGAGTGAGCAACTTTGTTAAATTAAATTGACTAGTAATCATATCTATCTGTTAATGCACCAGTTTTGGATGAGTGTTGCTTTTCTAACATAGATCAGATAAGAGTAGATAATGTTCCTGCTTATCTTGATTCATATTCTCTACTATCAAAATTCCTGCCATTCCAAATCCCATTCCCTGGTCTACCACTATCATTGGCTGCTCCCCAGAAGCTCTAAGACCCCATGGAAAGTCTACCCATGGTTATTTTCCCAAGACCTTGAAGATTAAACCATCCCATCTTTGTGATATTATGTGTCTCTGATGTCCAATGCTATCTTTTCTGTGTAGTGAGAATCGGTGAATCTGTGGCAGTACTAGAAAGCCAGTGTGTACATAAGCAATACAGAAAAACCCATCTTTCCTTCATAGTCTGGGTAATATGTTACTTTAAGGAGAAAAACTGTTTCATCTTGTTTATCAATAAATGAGAAGCAATGGTATTCATTAATTGGACAAAATACAGGGGCTCTTCACCATGGAGAATTGAATTTGAGATTGAAGACTCCTTACTACAGTCTCCTTGTAAATAATATCTGATAAATTTCCTTAGTTGGAAATGGATTCCTAAGACACTTGCTGGAGTGACTTGGTCTTCTTGACTGAAACTATAAATGCAAATGCAAATAAATCCCTAAGTATGACTCATTCCTAAAATGAAGGAACTATCAGGAAGTCTGAGGATGGGTCTTTAAAAAGTAATAACTTTTTACCTTTCCAGGCTATATTTGGTACCAAAGGTTTCCTTTTAGAAGACAAAAATACAAAGATATTTGTTACCAAAGTCTGTAACCACAAAATACTATGGATTATATGTAGTGAATTTATGTCCTTATGGGCTGGATTCAACAAGAAAAATATGAATATGGTATGTATAATAATTATGGAGCCTGGGGCTGGGGATTTAGCTCAGCGGCAAAGCGCCTGCCTGGCAAGCGCAAGGTCATGAGTTCGGTTCCCGGTACCGGAGAAAAACCAAAACCAAAACAAAACAAAACAAAAATTATGGAGCCATTTAATATGCAAGGAGATTACAGTTTTCTTTTAGCTCACTTTGTCTCTCCATTATGCTATATAAGTTTATATCATGTTTCAAACTCTGAACAGCAGACATTTGCTATGTAGATTGCATAGCAGAGCATATTCCAGGTATGCCGCATGGAATTAGGTATTCCTGAGCATAGCAGCTAAGACTGAGACAGGCAGTTGACCCCTTCTCTCCTTGGTCAAAGTTATGAACATGGGTGTTCCATAACTGGCAGTGGGTTTTCACATGTTCACAATATATTATATTAAAAAATGGAACCCTAGAGAAGCATATATCATACAAGCATTCTACTTATTTTTTATGTGCTCTCTTTTATGAGTGATTTGGCTTCAAGTAAAATTCACCATTTAACGTGGAAAATTTGAACAGAATGGAAAGGTGGTGGATCCTTCTCCTATGAAGAGTTAGAAGTCTGACTTCATGAACTCTTTGCTTCCTGTTGTTGAGAGTTCAGGAAAGAGGCGGGGGAAGGGAAAGTAGCACTTCTTCAGTGGAGGAGCAGGCAGAATTTACATACTCATACTATTGCTGTTGAGAAGTTATCGTTGCTATATTCTAACTGGGAGCCAATGAGACTGTTACAGTGAGTTGCAGTCCCAGGATAGCTGTTCTCTGCCAACCTTTATGCTTTAAGAAGCTAAATTATGTTAGACTGAAACCCATGAGGAATCATTTCTCAAAGCCTGTTTGTTCAAAAGAAATAGTTCCCTTCAGTTAGGTTCATTATATTCTAAGGTATGTAATTATGCTTACTATTTGATTTCTAGTTTTCAACCCTATGATGTTTACAAAGATCAAAATATCTTTGGGAGGAATTGGTTTTCAGTTTTACTAAAGCAATATTTTATCTCACAAGAGCCCAGCAAGTTGTTAGTACAATTTTTAATATATTCATCTAACAGATGTAAAAATAGAAATTGAGAGATGTTAAGTAACCAAAGTCATAAAGCTGGTAATTCACAATGTGAGGGTCTAAAATCCAGGTTTTCTGATCTATTAATGTGTACACCCCGCCATGACTACCACCACCACCACCCTGCACTTGAACAAAGCACCTTTGTTAGTGGCTTTGCTCCATGATGTCTACCACTGCCGCTTCTACTACAAAATAAGCAAATTGCTCTGTAGATTCCGAGCTGGTGCTCCCAAGCAGCCCCTCTCACTAGTCGGCCTATGGTACACACACACTGAGGTGTCTAACGTAGACATATATTTACCTAGATGATTCTGCCTTTAGAGCACCAGTAATTATGAATTCTTAGCGTACTTGTTCTCTGCTTCTGAAGGGTATGGTTTTTTCATTGGGTGATTGTTGCTGTAACATGAGTTTTATGTCCTTTAGAGTCGAATGGATGTGTATATGTCACATGCTCCCACTGGATCGTCAGTACAGAACATTCTGCATTTAAAACAGGTAGAGTTGTGGTTATGGGGCATCACTCCAATCCTTGTATATGAAAGGACAGCACTGATTGACAGGGGTACCCTGAGAAGCTTAACCACTTGCTTCCCCTCTGTACTAATTGCCATCTCCATGCCTTGATTTTCCTAGTCTTTAGGAAAAAATATTTCCAGAAAAAGAAGATGATATAAAGAGATCCCGTTGTAAATCAGAGCCTATAAAATCGATCCTGAGCCAAAGCGAGAAGTACACTGGGGGAGCTCCAGGAAATCGGAGTCTTCCCCAGAGAGAGATGTTTGGACTTCCCTGTAATAAATCTCGGTTTTCCATTAGCTTTTCCTTCAAACCCAGGCCTCTCTCTTTGGGAAACCATTTTCCCATAATAACAAGAAGGTACTTGCATCCTTTTAGTGATCCAGAAGCCTGAATTTATTCCGCGTGTAGAGTTTTTCTAAGATTTATTGTTATCACATACGAGTCTTACACTGAGTATTCTTTTTCTAAAACATTTATTTCAGCTTTACCGAGCCGATGAATTCAGAGCATATGACTGGGGAAGCGAAGCTGAGAACATGCAGCGCTACAATCAGGTGAGGTAGTCGGCATGACCCCGGGGTGGCAGTCTTGAGAAATCTGTAATTAATTTTTATTAGTACATGTTCCTAGTACGTAGTGATTGCATTCACTGTGGGGAGCTGGTGCTTGTGCGTAACACAGCTCAGTTCTTTTATTTCCCCTTCCTCCCACCCCATACCTCTCTCCATCCTAGATCCCATTCCCACTGGCAAAACAGAAATTTAGTAAACAGTTTATTTTTAAATTTTTTTTATTTTCTGGGGTTTTTTGTTGTTGTTGTTTTCCGGTACCGGAAATCGAACTCACGACCTTGCACTTGCCAGGCAGGTGCTGTGCTGCTGAGCTAAATCCCCAACCCCCAGGAAGCAATAATTTTTGACTCAGACTCCTATCTGCTAATTGGTGGCATTTTCACTGACACAGCTTTTTTTTTAAAAAAATTCTAATTTTGATTTGTATTCATTGCAGTATGTTTAGACATAAAAGGAACACATACAAAAGAAATTCATCATCTGTAACCCCTGCACTCAGAGATAACTAAATGTATTGCTATCTTCATGTATTTATTCCAATCTCCCAGCATCATGTTGCTCTATGTGACTTTCAATCATTAAAAAATTATCAACATTCAAGAGTTGGGCTCTCAGGCATCTTTTCCCACATAACTTTACTCATCAGATGCTGCAGATTCACTTAGTACTGTATTTTCAAGAATTCTTCTGGTCCTCTTCTGTTCTTATAGTCAGGGACTGGGCCTCTATGTATTAGTTAAGCACATTCAGTGCTTCCAGCATTTGCCTACAATAACTATTTAAAGTGTATTTATTAGTGTAAATACAAATCAGTGAAGTTATTTCTGATCATGAAAATAGCCATCAGAACAGTCAATTTCTCAACAAGAAATCAAATTGTTAGAGTGATTCTGCTACCACCTTAAAATACCTACAAGGAGCAAAGCATGTATATTTTACTGTTTTTAAAGCAGTTTTATTATAATGTGATTTACACATAATAAAATTTACTGATGTTTTATTTCCAATTTAATGAGTTTTGACAATTACACTATTTACATAACCATACCGTACCAAAATATGGAGCAGTCCCATTACTTTCCAGAGTTTTCTCTTGCCTCTTCTTTTCGTTTGTTTGTTTTTTGTTTTTGGTACCAGAAATCAAACTCAGGACCTTGCCCTTGCCAAGCCAGGTGCTGTGCCACTGAGCTATATCCCTGGCCTCTTAGAAATTCAATTTTGATAAACGCTTAGAAAATGTCCAGAAAACAATACACAAAAAATAACTTCATGGAGGGGAAAAAAGGGGAACGGAAGCAAATGAACACAAAGGAGTAAACGATGCTCATTTTGGACTTTATATACAATAATTCTGTTTTCTTCCATTAATCTTAATGAACATATTACATTTGCACATTGTTTACAAGACAATGGGACAACACATACACATATTCAAGACTATAGATTCAGGTTTTTAAAGTCTGTAAAATTATCAATATCCTTAGAATTTTTCACCATTTCTCTGGTCTTCCCTTGCTGTAGGTTAGTTCTATTGTGTTTGCAATTTTAGTTCATTTGAAGTCAATTTCAGTACATTTTTCTGAAGAAACTAGTCTCAATAGTTTTCTTTCTCTTTAAGGCCCCACCGAGCACCATCTCATGTACTCTGTGTCTTTTTGGAGAGAGAATTTAGCCTTTTTGGATGGAGAATGTAGCCATCCCTATAATTTTAATATGGAACAACCATATGAGCGTCATAGAGTTTTTTAGGTTCTACTTTCAACCTCCCCCTTCATCCAATCACTTCACTGACTGATGTTGATCCAGTCATCTGACTCTGCTTGCTCTTCAGACTTTCTGAAAGATGTCCAAATTCCTCATCTCTACACTCAGACTTGGAAAGTCAGCCTCGAACCTCACATCCTACAGTATTCCCTTGTCAGTTCTGTTCTCCAGGTACATCAGCAAGTTTGCCATTCCTGATTATGGCCTGCACACTTTTCTTATCTCCTGAGAAGTCCTTCCCACCTCCATTTCTGCCTGTCAAAATTCAACTACCTCTAATTCATTTTAAATGCCTTTTCTTTTTATGAGGCCCCCAGGTTAAAAACAATTTCTTCTTTTTCTTCATTTCCATTACAATTTGAGAGGGTTTTACCGCCTTCAACACGCACTACTTTGTATATAAATGTTTGTCTAGCAATCTTATTTTGTTTCCTACTTTGCAAACTCCGTAAGTTAGGGACCATTTCACATTTTCTTCTTATCTTCCTTGGTACATAGCCTTGCAGGCATAGTAGATATTCATTTCACGGCTTTTAGATTTAGTTGAATTCTGTGTTGCGTGAGGAGCTTCCTCACATGAATGCCCTTTCTCTCTCTCTCTCTCTTTCACAGAGTCAGCCTCCAGTATATGACCTGACTGCTCTGAAGGTGCCCACTGCTGTTTGGGCTGGTGGACGAGACATCCTTGTAACACCCCAGGATGTGGCCAGGATACTCCCTCAAATTGGAAATCTCTGTTACTTCCAAATGTTGCCAGATTGGAACCATTTTGATTTTGTCTGGGGCCTGGATGCCCCTCAACGTTTGTACCATAAGATAATAGCTTTAATGAAGGACTATCTCTAAATGTAGAACATCTACTCTTCGTTAAAATTTCCTTTCAAGCCCACAAGAGGCTTTAGGGAAAGCACTAGTGAACAATGAGATTGACTCTAGCACCCTTCTTGCTAGTGCTAAGACATTTTCTTTCCTCAGCATCTCAACTAGAGATTATTTGAACACCGTTTCTCTTCTATGAAACATCTGCATCTGAAATCTGAGGATCTTATCCCCTCAGTCAGGGCCGGGGCCTGTTTTCATCCAAGATCTAGTAATTACTTCTCTGTTAAATGTACAATTGAAAGAGCAGTTAGAAGATTTTTCTCTCCTTGTTATATATACATATGTGTGTATACATATACATGTTATATATATATATATATATATATATGATCAAATAATACCCACTCCCTCCCTATCCCATTTTGCAAAGGATTGACTGTCAGCATAGGAATGTTGGCCTAAAGAGAAACTCTTTGCCAAGGTGGCCATTTAGGAAGTTTGTTTTGTGTGGCTGTGACCTGGTGGCATACTTCAGACTACAACTAAGTCAGTAGTCATTAAAGGAGTGATCTATAAACAAGCCAGGAAATAAACTTTGACCCACCTCAACTCACCTGAGACAAAACAGTAGAATGGGAAAATAATAAAATTTATGTTTTCCAGGAGATTGTTGTACTGTTATGGGTGAGGTGAACTGCTAATTTACTAAAACTATTCATTTATTTATTCTAGACTCCAGACTTTGAAGCAAGGTTAAATTGACAGTGCTGTTGTTTAATAGTGTACTAGAGATTACCAACAGAAAATAAGTCTTAGCATATAAGGAATGATTTCCTTTGTTTTTTGCTCCAAAGGGAAACTAGACTGATCGGTTGCCATATCTTCATCAGCAAAGTAAAATGTATGCTACCGCATTTGCACTCACATAACATTTAAAGCCGCTTCCAGAAGATCTGATTTAGAACAAGTGGAGGAAGTGCAAGGAATGGCTGTACTTGATCCTCTAAAAGATGCCCGACATTGATTCTAAGACTCAGTGCAGAGTTCAAGAGTAACATGAAATTCTACTCTTGGTTCCTATATTCTTGGGCAGTGTGAACTTAGAAGAATCCTTTACCTTCTATGAAGATGTAATTAATGAGAAATCATTAGTGATCCCCAGGGAATCATAAAAAAATACACATATGTATCTTTGGTGGTTTATTTTCACTTAAATAGGTAAATGTGAATTAGCCCAAATATCGGCATGTAGAACCAAGGTCTGCTGATGTTGGGTGCCACGTGCACATTCCTCAATAAATAGCCCATATTCGTCATTCATAATTTTTTAGTCTCAGTGTCTTTAAAATGCATAGGAAATAAAAACACATGAGAATCAATTTAAAAACAAATCCTTTTAGAGTCTTATCATTTTTATTTATTAAGAAAGCTATCTAACTTGATCACTATTTTTAGTGACTTCACTGAGTTTTTTAAAGAGTATAAACTGAACATATGCTCACCTGTAACCCCAGCACTCTGGGAGACCGAGGCAAGAGGATTGTAAGTCTCAACCCAGCCTTCATAATTTAGTGAGATCCTGTCTCAATATTTTAAAAAATTTAATTAGTTAATTAAAAAGTTAAAATAAAGAATACAAAGTATTTTTATACAGCAATATGTTCTTTATTTCATCAAATTATCCAAAGTTGATGTAATAATTTAACTGGTACAATAAATAAACTGTCATAAGTAGTTTTGAGGACTCAGTGTATGATTTAAGCTGAAGAAGTATAAAGGAATGGTTACACTAAACTAGCTTGCTGATAGCTCAGAACATTTAATAGACCCTGAACACTAGTTAATGTATTTTACAGAAACGTAGGAGAATACTGGTTGATATAGGAATCTGGTTAAACTGAAGTCAGTTAAAAGAGGTCTTATTACAACAATGCTGTTTATTGGCCCAAGGATGGGTTTGGTCCAGGTCTGTTCCACAGTTCTTTTCTTTCTAGAACCAGCAACGATCAGGATTATATTTTTCATAAGACAGATTCCAAGAGCAGAGAGAGCCAGCTAAATCATACCAGCATATTTAAACCTCTGCATGTTTACATTCTTTTGACTACTAGTGGTCATATGACCAAGTGGGGAGGGTGTTAAATACTAAGTAAAGTAACAACTTTTTATGTTTTACATAACTTATCTCCTTGTTTACAAAGACTTGTAGATATTCTCATGCAAAGATGGCTCTAAACATAAATAAAGGACTGCTGCTGCTTAGAAAATGAATTGGTTTTTGTTTTGTTTTATTTCTTTCACTGTGTAGTTCAGGCTGGCCTGGACTCACCATATAGCCCAGGCTGGCCTCGAACTTGCAGTGATTCTCTTGCCTCAGCCTCGAGTGCTGGAATTTCAGGCATGCACCGCCACACCTGGTTGAGAATATGAACTAGAAGGGAAAAACAAAGGTTTGGGGACAAATTTGTAAGTCTGAGATAGACTAATTTCTTCCTGCTGTGCTCTTCAAAAGAGGTGGCCCTCGACTAATCCAGAGTCAGCTCCATAATTCCTATTCTGCATGGCAAATCTACAAGACAAGCTGCTGGCTCCAAGAGCCATCCTTCCCTCAAAACTAACATTCAAACCAAGTGTGGTAGCTCACACCTATAATCCCCGCACTCTGGAGGCTGAGGCAAGAGGATCACTGTTAGTTTGAAGCCACTCTGGGCTACGAAGTGAGTCCAAGGTTAGCCAGAACTGCAGAGAGATTTGTCTCAGAAAAAGAAAAAACAAATTAGCATTCATCTATGTAATACTATGCACTGAAAGAGAACTGGGATCACTATGAAAACCATGTGATAATATGGAAAAATTCCCATAATACAATCTAATGTGTTATGAGGGGAAAATAAAACAGTAGAAGTATGATTTTATCTACTTAAATATATTGAAACAATTATATGATTTGATAAAAATTTGTGTATGATGAAAACTGAAGCAACGTAGAAGTGGATTTTTGCCATGATAATAACATGATGAGTAATGTATTTCATATTTTTAAATTTTTATATAGTAATGACATAATTGTTTCAACCAGTGAAGAAAATAATTCAAATATTAAATTCACGTACACATGAAATCAAACTCAGTCCATGCATTTTTGACTAAGTTATGCACATGGATTGCTCATTTATAATTGTAGGTATCCCTTCAAGGTACTATGCCAAATGATGGAAAAATTTGCACTACAAAAAAAAACTTGCATATGGCTGCCTATGACAAGGTAATTCTGATTTCTGATCCCTGAAAATGACTACTTAACAATTGAAGTAGAAATTCTCTTTAACCTGAACCCTTTCATAAATAATATCTACTTATGTACATAGTAATAACAGTGACCTATTAAAATTTAAGTATACACTGAAGTATAGTGTGGGAGGAGGAATGCTTTCTGCAGTAAATAATACTCATTTTTAAAAATCATATGCTTTCTTCTACCTTACACCATACTAAAAAATCAAGCTTGTAAGTCTAAATTTCAATAGTAAAATGGTACTTCCAGACGATAACATAGGAAATTATTTCATAGTACAGGGTAAGAAAAATATCTTGAATGAGTCACAAAAAAAGATAATTAATAAGTTGAACTATATTAAATTGAAGAACTTCTGCTCATTAAAAGAGTGATTAAGAGTAAAAAAAGTCCAAGTCATAGAATGAAAGTAACCTTTAAATCCAGAAACTATGGAATATAAATAACTTGTTTAAATTGAATTTTTAAAACACAGAACAACGTATTAGAAAGTGGGAAAACAGTTGTGTGAGCACCTAAAAGAGAGAATATATTGATGGACAAAGTGCCCAACTTTATTAATAATTTGGAAGATGCAAATTTAAACTATAGTTTTAGAAATTTTGATAGACCCATCAGAATTATAAAGAACAAATTATAATTATAACTTAATATATATAATACAATATACAGAACAAGTGAAAATGAATACAAATGCTTTGGATTGTATCTTTGGTAATAAGACGTCTACTAAATCCCAACAGATCCACTCTGCAAGATCTTGCAGTTCCAATCCTAGGTTTATATGCAACAGAAAGACAAATGTATGTTCACCAAAAGATTTGTACCGAAGTATGCATAACATCTGTATTCATAATTATCCAAAATTGGAAACAACTTAGATGTACAACAAGAGAATGAATGAATAAATAAAAGATGGTATAGTCACGCAATAGCATAGAAAACAAGGTGAGTCATTAAAAAACTGGGATAAATCTCATAAGCACAATAGTCAGTAAAAGAAAATAGACACAGAAGAATACATAGTTCACTAGACATTTTCTATGTAGGCACATACTTCTAGTTCTAGTCTTCAAAGTGTGATCTTTGTAGGAGAATCAGGACTTGGAGGAAGTACTCCCTCTGGAGTCCAGAGAATTTCCTACTATCAGATCTGGGTGCTGCTATGCAAGTGTTTTCAGCTTGCAAAAATTTATCCTATGAGGCATGTGTGACATGTACATTTGTTCTGTTGTGTATGCCATATCTAAATATAAATCTAAATACTCCAAAATTTTCTGTTTTAAATTAATAGACTAAAAAGTACAAGAGAAAAGAACATTTACTGATACCAGCACCATTTTTATCATATACTCTGCTTTGCATGCTGGCAAGTCTATCACTATCACAGATCTGAGTCATATTTTTTTCTTTGCTAAGAGTATCACATCAAATATCTGATCTAAAATTTACCACTCTGTGAGATATGTTGTCCTCTTCATTTTACAGATAAGAAATCTGAGATATAGGGTCTGTCAAATTTATCTAAGCTCTCACAAATGAAAGAGTCATTATTTAATCTGGGAATGTAAATGTGTACAAGTTGGAGTGAATACAGAAATGACAGTGGAAGAAAAGTTACATTTGTAACACCCTGAATCAAAATTACTTGAAAAATTAATGTAGGAGACACTGGGAAAATGATCTTTACAAACTCTGGTTATCAAATTGAGATTAGTAGGGGATTATTAGTGAGGTCAGTTATAACATATAAGATCACTACCATATAGACATAGAATCGAGCAATATCTCATCAGTAAAGAAGACTGATTGGCCACAGATTGATAATATTAATTTGTGAAAAATTCAGTAATATTTCTCCTTATTTTTTGTTGCCTTATAATCATACAAAGCAGGGTAGGGATATAGCTCAGTGGCATAGCACCTCCCCGGCAACTCCTGCATTGGATTCCTGATACCAAAAAAAAAAAAAAAAAAAAAAAATCGTACAAAGCAAGAAACATGCTCACAACCCTGTCACAGCCCTGTCAGGTGGCTGTGGTTTCCCAAGCCTAAATATCCTATTGCTATAATTTGTAGAACGAGGTAGGTAATAGCATTCATTTCAATCAATACAAATGCACGTGAAGTGAAAGTTCTGTCTCTTTGGAGTTGCAGAGCTTTTTCTAGGTGGGATAATCCGTTTTGGAGAGGTAAAGCCTGGCTCAAGTAATGGCCTTTCTGAAACTCTGTAACCAAAGTGAAGGTAGGTGTCTTCCCAGAGGGGGTTGCCCAGTCTGATCCTCTCTCTCCTCCTCTCACAGGAAGGGTGTCCACGCCTCCGAAAGGCTGGGTAGTGCCCACCATATTGCAAAAGCTTTGCCTAAATCTCATGTTTCGTGCTCCCTCTTCAATGGCCCTTTTTATTGTGTGCCAACATTACCTTTCATGGACGTCTAAGTAACTTGAGAGCATGAGCTCTATCTTTCCCGTCTCTTAACCTTTTAAAAACGTTTTTATTTTGATCATAATAGGAATAGTAATAGTATATGATCATTAAATTTTTATACAAAGTGTAAGTAAAAGACAAATCCTTAATTCTACTTTTATTATGTAGCACAGGTGCTCTACAAGGTGGACACAAGAAACATAAAGTTAGACTAAATTATGTTATGTTCCAAGAAGCTGGAAAACACACACAAAAAATGGGTTCTGTGCTGAAATCTCCAGAAGAAATACAGCCCTACTGACACTTTGATCTTAGAATTACGTTCCCCACAATGCAAGAGTTACTGATCATTCATTAATTCATTCATAGGACACTAATATGCACAGAGACTAAATCTCACACCACGTGCTTGATTCAGTACTGTATAATACCATGCTCACTGCTATAGTTCAAATCTCGAATGTTCCCCAGAAGCCCATGTGTTAGAATCTTGGTTGTTAGCCTATGACCATTTCTAGAGGTGGTAGAAGCCTTAAGAGGTAGGGCCTAGTGGGAGGAAGTTAGGTCACAAGGGCTATGCCCTTTAGGGGGATATTAGAA